GGTTTTTGTTTTTTTTTTTTTTTTTTTTTTTTTCTTGTAAAAAAGGCAATTTCGAATTCCCTGTTTCTCCAATGTTATTTTTCAAATCTTATTAAAAATTTGATTAACTAGGAATTCTAGTAACACGTGATTATTCACTCTCGTATGAGTACTTGACGTACTTTTTAATGGGATTGTCATACAAAAGCGGATTGTGCATTAGGTGGCGGGCTTTATCGCAAACAAAATTTTTATCCGACGCGATGCTTATCGGCACAAGTGATTTTAGCCACAGGCAAATATTAGTAGAGGTTTCCGTGTATTTTTATAGCAATATAGAAATCCCAAGCAACTTCGATCCCCGAAATATCGAGAAAAATAATAAAAAGGGGTTCGATATTCGCGTCGGAATGCTTTTTCGGGGCTTTTGATGTTTCGAGCTCTTGTGGACGTGAACGCGTAAGCTCTGGGATGACGTGTCGTAATCGATTTAAGTTCGACAGAAATATGATCTTGAAACGTAATGAGCGTCGACGGCTTCGTAAAATTTGTATAATACAAATTTACATAAATCAGTGGGAAGTCGATGGTCGCGAGGAAACTGTGAAGGAACGAAATTTTTGAAATTCAAAAAGCCCGTCACTCGCAATTTATGTAATTCTTTTTTTTTTCTTCACTCTTCCTTCACTTTGTCGACGTAAATTTTTCTTCTTCTCCACATTATGTTCTTCGCTCTACTGTATATATTTGTCAATTTGCAAAACACACTTTGACGAACGCAATCACGTTTGACTTTATGCTGTGGCTGACTCGTAATTTCCGAATGCGCTGGACTAAATACCGGGTTATAAATATAGCCAGTGTTTCGCCAGTAATGCAGTTCGACTTTAGTCTGCTGCGTCGAGAAGTAGAATAGAATGAGAGAGAGAGAGAGAGAGAGAATGAAACTTAGTGACTTAATATCGAATCGAAACTCTCGCCAAGATCGATAGTCCATCGCGTTGCTTCTTTGATGTTTTTCATCCACTTGACGTAATTTTTTGTCTCTTTGACTCCGCCGATACAGCAGAGTCAAGTCTTGCGAGGCTATTGACGCAGACAAATGAAAGTTCTTCGATGACTGGCTTCTTTCGCCAAAATAGATAAAATCAATATAACAAGCACGCGAAGAAGCCTATTCCCTTAATGGAGTCAAATTAAATGTGAATTGCCGTAGCTTTTAATCTATGAAGAAAAAAAAAAAGAATGTCCCTCCGAAAGGTTACAATAGGATAATTCAGTGTGGGGGGCCTAAGTAGAGAATGCGAGAATGGAAAATTGAAAAGAAAAATTTAAGAATAAACACACCACACAATAAGCTCTTTGGAGCGCGAAACTTTGTAGGAATTAGTCGAACGTGCCTTTCGAACAAACAATAGCTGTCAGAGGGAAAAATAAAAAAATTTGAATGCAAAAAATTGCCCGCTAAAAGCTATGACGGGTATTATGCACCGTGACAGCTATAAGAAAAATATTCATATTAGACGACTAAGTCGATCAAAGATTTTTGACGTACACAGATCAAACTCAAGGAATATAAATTACTTGTGGTTGGGCAAAATTCCAATTTCTAATTACCAATTAACCTTATTTATACTTTCTCATGATTCTGCTAGTTGCCTTTAATTTGCCAAGGGTCGTCGAGTGTGCTCGCTTGAAAATTCAATGAGAACAGGAATAAATTTAAAACCGACCTTGGACCGAGTGGAGAAATCACGTTTTCGGTATCCATCGTAAAGGGTGGTGTGTCGCCCTTAGTTTATTGTTTCTACCCAGGACCCTTCGTCAGAACGTGACCTCTATATTGGGGAATTAGAAAAGCTGCCGTTATACAACTTTTGCTCGGAAAATCAATTTCCCTTATCAGTGCCTGAGAGCTTGTCGCTTCCCTTGGGATTCCCAATAATTATTGCTCGAGTCGGTGGATTTTTGTATCAGTTTACAGTTTACCTACAATTAATTATTTTAGAACAACCAGACTGATTCGAAAGAAACGCATGCAGCTCCATACTGCATATCCGTTCTCGAAAAACATACTCTATGTACCGGGTAACCAATATGTACCAACGTTTTTTTTTTTTAAAATAACCAAATTTTCAATAATTCCTTTCACCTTCGTACTCGTCGACTGATACCGATAGCCAATCGCAGTACGAAAACAAAAAATAACTGGTCGAAATTCGAAAATTTAACATGACTTTTTTTTTAACAAAATGAATAATTATGATCGAGACTGTATCGAGGTATAAGAAGGAAATCACGTGTATATAATAAAAGGCGATTACCTAATCGTTAATTGCGTATGATTTAATTAATGGGTAATATTGAGATATGCAATTATTAAAGCCATAATTACACTGTAGTCAATATACAATTATATTATACATCGTTTACACATTGTGCCTTTATCGATAAACGGAGTTACGCATTGATTATCTAGTACAATAATAATAATTGACAGCCATAAAAAAAACATAATTGTACGTTTACGTGAGTATGAAATTTAATTTAAAAAATATTTGTATTTTTAGGTAATCGTCACGTTTCATTCGACAGACGACCGCATGGCTCAAATGACGTTAAGGGATGTGCGAAAATGCATAAAAGGCAAGTTAATCGATCCAATGAGCTCTGGACTTTCCCCTAGACAATAAAATTACTAGATGGTCCGTGTAATGCGAAGATGATCCAATTACTCAGTGTTTGGAATTAAATTAACGAGCGAGGGGGTAAGCTTTGCTAATTACCTAATGGCGGACATCGAAAAGTGGCAATTGGAAAATACATCAAGGTCGGAAAAAAAAAAAAAAAAAAGAAAAGGTGAGTAGATAAGGATTACATAGGGAACAGGGATTTTTCAGTGCGGGTCCCGATGAGTGGAGGAAAAAAAAGTATATGGAAACAGCATGGCGGACTAAGGGAAGCTTTGCGTGTTGATTGACGTTGGCTATTTCTATGTAAAACTCACAATGGTTGGATTGGATTGGGAGCAGAGGATAGTTTGGATCTATCCATAAATATGATCAGAGGTATGATAACTGTTATATTCATGTATTATATGTGTACATATATATATATATATATATATATATATATATATATATATATATATAAATTTTGCCAGGCACAAATTGCTTGGAGGTATGATGATTTTTTAATATTTTGATTGGAGGCGAATGTTGTAGTCATTAATCAAGTGGTGTAGTGTTTAAAATATTTTTTTTATTCCTTAGAGGCAACGGGCGATGATGTACAACAAATGCAAAACGAAGGAGAAGAAACTCGGTACGTGCAAAAATTGATGACTCGAATGTGTAGACTGCTGGAGAGTCGATAGCGTGCAGCTGGTATTTTAGCCGATGTATATCTATATGTAGTGGCCACTCGAAGTAAAGGATGAATGGCGTGGCTTACATAAGTTACGGTATTTATAAACAAACTCGAAATAGAAAACGGCTGCATTAGTCGATCGCGTGTAAAAGATCGCCGTAATGTAACTGTCGCTTTGGTGAAAATTTGTATGAAAATATTCTGAATTCTTGTAAAGATATTTTCATGAGCGATACGACAGTCGATTCACTTGCGAACTTGCCCGTAGGATTAGGTGGTTAATTTGACAATGAAATGTTTAAACGAACGATTAATGGATTATATCCGTTCGTTATCGCGTTATCGATGGATTTTGATACCCGGGTGAAATTGAAATTATTGTATAAATTTAATGGCGATTCCATCGACGCGCAGATCACTTTGAGTCGATTAATAATTTAATTTCTTATTTAATCGATTTATTGTCAATGAGTGTCTTTGTGGGATTAATAATTTTAATAGGAGTTGATTCAATTGACTGGTGCGACATTGAGATGCTTTTGTTGAGCACGCGATACCTTGGCGTCGGCGTCCCGACGGTGATTGTATCGTTGAATTTGGTATTTGGTTTATTTGGCAATAATAAACACTAGGGGTTAGGAACCTTGCGTGAACGCAAAGATAAACTTGAGCTGTTATCGCAAAATGAATGGAAAGCGAGGAGAGCATAATGGCGGGGTCATAATTTTCTTTTTTTTTTTTTATAAGGGAGATCAGAGAGATGGAGGGTTTAAAAATAAAAGTAACGGGAAATTATTGATTATTTATACAGACACTTCCGGTTTGAATTGGATTTTATGAGCTTGCTCGGTGTTCTTAGAATTTGCAATTTGGAAATACGTGCAATTTCTGATAGCATCCGGATCATATTGAGTTTTTATGCTATATAAGGTAGAATCGAGTAGCTGACGTTATTTGTGGATTTTGCGAATATATTGAGGATTTTTATTGAACCGTGCAATATTTTATATCTAACGTGCTATGACGGGTGGACCTGCGAGTAGCAATCCTGTCAAAGTTTTTGGAGAGATTGTTCCCTTTTACTTTTCTTTCTTCTTGCTCGAAAAGTTAACGTTTGACAAGGTAGACAAACTGCTATGACGAATTTGGAAAGTTTCACATCGTTTCTCAGATTAGCTCCTGTTCGATTTTTTTTTGTTATCAGTACACTTAACCTTTCTTTTTTATTTGTTCTTACAGTTCCGAACTGAAATAAAAAAAAATGGGACATTTTATGGGTTCAACACGCTGTCTCTGTGTACTGTGTACTGTGTACACATGCTATGCGTCCCCCAAATGCCCATTTTTATAAATTATAAATCCATATTTTTGTTCTCTTTTAGCGATAAATGATATATTATTGTACTCGGCCCTGGTTCGGCAAGGCAAACAGTTTTGGTTTCATTGATACGCAACATTAATCGCGCCAGTCACCTATTTCGCACTTGATCGGGTTTTTCCTTTTATATCCTGCACAGCGTTGAAATATAGCTCGAGTTAGCACCAGATAAGAGTTTGCGTGTAGCGTGCGAAATTTTATTTGTAAAAAATTCGTTCGTTAAATAACTCGAAGAAAGAAATGGAAAGGAAAAGTAATGGTTAAGATATTCAACAACAGATTGTATAAGTAGGTGATTTATTTTCGTGTGATCTTTGTGGGCCAATTCTTTGGCTTCGAAGTGACTAATATCTATTATCTATACATTTGACACATTGCGTTGCTGTATCAGGCTTGACAGAGTCCAGCCGAAAGCATTCAATTTCACGATTGCGTTTCATATGCGTGTTATTCTTTTGAAATCATTTTCATTTTGTTTCACAGAGCATTCGTTCAAAACATGGATATTCGATTGACTCAGTGAATTGGAAATTTGAATATTTGTCATGCTGAAAGAAAAAAGAATACACCTCAAAGCTTTGAGTGAGAAATTTTTTAAATCATGATCATTGGATGGGACACGATAGTCAAGAAGGAAACGAAGGACAGAATTTCCGTAGCAGTATCTCAATGGGGTGGAATTACTCCAGGAAACATGAAATGATGAAAATTTTGGCAATTCTCCAAGCCACGTGAAATTTGCGTGCAAATACTTGTTCAACAACGCTCTCTGAACTGCGGAGTGGTATCACTGTTGAGAAATGTTGGTGAACAGCGATAACAAAAAAATAAGAAGAGGATCTTGAGGAATCAGTGTATCGACCACGAAATGAAAACACGTTATCATCGGTTTAACAATCAGCCAGCCGAATGATATACGCCACGAGGCTTTTGCCACAAGTTCCATTTGGGCGTTAAGGAATTTCCCTAGGCGTATAAATAAACAAGGAAAGAGGTACAGTGCCGTTATTGAAAATATAGTAAACAAATTTTTGCAGGACTCACCGGAATCTGATTGAGATTTAAATCCGATCTCTCTCGACTTGCGCAATGAGTCGACACACCAGGACCCTGTTTGAACTTCCTGCTGAATCTAAGTAGATTCCTGGTGATCATCGTGTTCATGACAATGATGAGGACCAGAGGTGCAACCAGGCTGGCGATGCTGTCGATGATGCTGATGATCCTCATGGTCTCCAGATATTCGATCCTCAGGTCGCACATCTCGTAGCCATCTTGGTTCTTGATGACACCGGCGGTGACGAACGAGTAAGAGTGGCTTGCCATTGCCAATACGACCAAGACCAGGACGATAGCCTTGGCCCTGGTGATGGTGCACATGTGTGGCCTGTGCAGCGGATACTGCACGGCTATGAATCTCTCAACAGTGAAGGCTACTATCAGCCAGACACTCAAGGAGCTGCATACGGCGCTGACGTAGACCAGAGTCTCGCACCAGCCATCCTTGTTGAAGACCTTCCAGCCTACGGTGCTGTTGAGCCAAACCAACAGGAGGGATACCAGGAAACCAAAATCTGCCGTGGCCAGGGCAGCCAGGTAGTAGCTGGAGCTGCGCATCTTGAGATGGGTGTTCAGGAAGACTATGCAAGAGAGAAGATTTCCCACCAAGCCTATGAGGATGATGAAGGGAATGTAATACTGATGAAAGAAGTCCAAGAGGAAGTAGAGAGGATTGCAGGCGTCCACAGGCTCTTCCTCTCCTTCGTAAGGATCGTAGCTACGATTTCTTGAGAACGTCAGATTCGTCAGAATCGTCGACGGTGGCGCCGAGCGTCGCACCCGGGGCAAGACCCCTATAGTCGCTGCTTCTCCGCTACAGCCAAATGATATTTCTGGAAACATTTTTAAGACGCTCGACTGTGCTTTGCTTTTTTCACTTCTTATCTTTATATCCTTCTTCTGAGTCTTCCCGTTTACTTCATCGATAACTTCAACGGTTTCCTTCCATATTCATTATCTTTTTTGCTTTTCCTCTTTTCGATTTCTCTTTCACCCTTAACCCATTCACCACCTTCACGTATCTCAGTCACTGGTAACTTCTTGTTTTGCTAATTCGTCCCTCTTTGCTTTCTTTACTTCGGCTATCATAACCAGCCCCGACCCTTTCTTTAATCACGTAACTTCACCCGCAGAACCAGTAATGGACTTCGTATCCTATTCAGGATATCATCCTGTATATCTCATCTCAAATACCCCTCGTAATTATCCAAGTACCTTTCGCCCTTTGACTTCCTCTCAATATATTCAATGTCAATTTGTCGATATTAAATTAGACTTGGTTCACTTTCCGAAACTTAACCACAATATGTTTTGGTTCATATTAGTAATTTATTTCATAAAAGACGTCTTGGGCCAATCTATCTTAAATTGATCTTTGAAATTAACGTTTCTATTGGATCATCATTAAAGTGACGTCACCTTCTTCCTTTCTATGACCCTTAAGCAAACAAGCATCCCCACCCGTGTTTGACCAAGGAATAAAGATTTAAGTGCCCGAAGATTCGATGTATACTTCATTGGATATTTAACGGCTTCTCAAATATTTTATCACATCAAGATATTTTCTAGTTCTACTCCTACGTAAATGTACTTTACTCGGAACAGTAAACACGTATCTCCCAGCCCTGGAATAAATTAGTAACAAACCCGCAACACGTTGATATTTATTACTTAATGTTTGTAGGCTCTCGTAAAATTGAACTTTAAAAGCTTCCGCGAATGCTAACGGCTTGCGAGCTTTACGAGTCTCAATTCTTTTACGTAAACTTTTGCGTATCGTGCTTTGAAGAATGTCCTTGTGGCACTGCCTTTTCACTCGAAAGTACAATTTGTAATTCCAAATTCCAAAGATCCCTTGGACAGTCTTCTCTTTTTATTTTTTTATCACTCACTCTCGCCTGCGCCTATGGGGAAAAAAACTCAAAAGATTTTCCTCATTCCATCATGTCTTATCCGAATTCTATCTTTATCCGCTTTTCTCACTGGAATAAAATTCCTTGGGGGATTGTACCGTTCGTTTCACTTTTGTATTATGATCGACGTGTACGATTTTATCGATAGATTATATTATTATTGTTATCTATATTTTGGTGTCAAACAGCTATGCATACATGAGTTAAAGGGCTATTTTATTAATGTTTATTCATTTATTAATTAACGTGCTACGTTTAATATGTTACAGGGCGGGCGAAAACGAGAAGCACAGTTCAATCACTTTGATAAATCGTAGATAGATAGAGCAAATTTTGATAATGTTCAATCGATCATTTCGCCAAGTCGCGCCAAAATTCAAATATCCTCCAAGTGGCTTGACTTTTGTCGACAGGAATATTTTTACGTTTCTCTTTTTGTTTTTTTTTAATTTCTCAACAATGTTATCTCTAGCTAGTAACTTTTTGTCACTGGTATCACCATCTCCAATCACTACGATCACAAGTTTCAGGAACACCACAACTTTTTCCCCACTTGGGGATCGAAAAGCTTTTAAAGCTCAGCTTTGCTGTCGCACAGGATAAATATGGATAACAAATCACTGAAGCCTGGAAGTATCGATTTCATTGGAAAGTTTAAGCCGCATTTGGTGCGACGGATGTTGTGTTTGAAGGAAACACCGAAATCACTGATACCTTCCAATTGGGACTACGTCCAGGGTATACAATTTTGCAATTTCTTTTATTTATTTTGAGCTAATGTGCTTTTACTAATTTGTTCCTTTTTTTTTTGTTTTTTTAGTTTGCTCAATACTTCGTTACGCAAAGTCCTGCGCAAAACCGATAACCTCATCTGTGAATGAAACGGAAGTGTTATGTAGCGCGACTCAGGCCGGCGCGGGATAAACTGATCTCATCGTCGCAAAGGGGTTTTCAGGCTGACAAGCTAAAAGTTCCTCCGCATGCGCCCTGACGTCTGGCGTCGACCCATTCACGCGTGACGGTCCTCTTCTTCGTCGAGGATTATTCGTTTGGCTGTCGTGATCGCTTAAAACTTTCAATCGAACCACCAATATGGCGCTTGCACTTTTAATTGGGAGATCGATCATCTAGCAGTAACAAATTGCTCCTTCGAAGCTGCTATGGACATAAATCAACAGCCTGTTATCTTTATGGACTAGTATAATATCGATCGACTTTTTTCTTTCAGGTAGCCAAGAGGGTCAAGGTGGCTGAAATCAATTGCCGTGGACATATTGATCCTTTGGCAAATGCAAAGACGGCGTTGGTACTTCCATGAGGAAGATGCGATCGCAAGTTTCGTCATTGTTGTTTTACAATTAAGTAACGCTGTATCGAGAGACGTGACTAGAAGATAAGGATAAGGAAAATTAATTTCTAAGTAATAATAAGATTTGCTAAAGAAAAGGCGACATGGAAAATGTATAAAGAAACAAGAGTTTCCCGGAGCTATTCAATTTGGATGTTTCACACCGTATCACTGAACTTTGCTCCCAAAGACGTGAATCATAATAGGTTATTGCGAGAACGTCCGATCTCGTTCGTAGTTTGAAAACTGCTATGAAGTTTTGTGCTTTGTTCATTTCTCGTCGGGCGGCGCTGTCGTCGTTGCTTTACTTTTGATTTTTAGTTATTTATTTACAAAGTGTATATCTTTAATCCAATTATAAGAGATTAATTGGCATTGCTTGTCTAGCCGGAATCAAAAGCCTTCACGCAACTACGAAAACATGTAAACACAACTCTGATCATCATGAATTCCGTTTTATCGTTATGATTTATCTTGGGCGATAATTTTTTGGGAATTTTGTTTTTCGTTCGCCAACTACGCGCCAGTTAGGTGAAAGGTTATTGTTGCGAATTATTCAACATCTCGTGGATCCTGAAATATTCGTGCTTTTCGATGGTATCCGCACTTTGGACGCTTTCAGCCACTTAGGTTCGCAGCTCGATACGCGAATCTCCCAAGAGAAATATTTACGCCTTGAATTCCTGGATGATTCCTCTGCGAGACAGATATTGAGAAAGATAGCTAGGACAAGATGGAGGAGAGTGTCGAGAATAAGAATGAAAAGCGTAAAATCAATACGAGTCGTTCGCAAATGGACTTTATTTTTTTTCCTCATTTTTTCATACTCTTTTATTATACTACCACTGTTATACTATGAGTCAGATATTTAAGTTTCCGCTACTCCTCGCTCTGCAGTAAATTTTCGATTTCCACTTCGGTGCTACGTGCGTTCATGATATACAAGAAGAAAAATTTTTATTACAAAAAATATGACCTAACATTATGATTACATGGGATATGAAAGATCGTATTTTCAATAGAATTTTATATGCGATTTATATATTTCAATTGAATTTTCTGGATAATTATAATTATAGATATCAAAGTAATTTACCAATTGATACATGGTCATTGAATTTGTCATTGAATCTGCTGTCTGTTAGGACTCGCGTATTTTGCCAATTAGATTGGAACCGACCGACTACACATTTTTTTTTATACGAGTCACCCTTAGCCGTTTTTAACAAAATCTAATCTGCTAATTACACCATTAGCCCTTAATGGGTTCTGTATCAATTTACTGTATGGCCATTCATTTAACCAATCCTTATGGGGATTAGCAGGGTAATTTAGCATGCTAAAAATAAATCTTTATGGTGAAAATCCTGAAATGGCATTAGAGGTATCATTTTGTTCACGCATATTATTTTATGAGAGCAACATTGCATTTTTTTTGGACATTTCAGATTTTTTACCTGAAACTCTTTTTTTCAAGATTTTTTACATTCTTTAATAACTGTGCCATATACGACTGCCCGATTTACCTGACATGACCTAAGATTGTCTTTTCTTTTTTCTCAAGAAATATCCTCTTATTCAATTTTCTCCTTTATTTCAGTGTTATGAGATACTGAAGGATGCCTGCACGAGTCTGAAGGGTAAAATACAGCCTAGTGGGAAACCATTCACTCCGGTACATACCTACGTGCTCAATCCAAAATCCATTACCATGGGTCAGCTCTATGGTGAATATGATCTAGATACCCACGAATGGTTAGTAGTCCTTTCCATCATATCTTACATTCCTTAAGTGAAGTAATGCTCTTATGGTAGTTGAAGTCGATTGGTAAATTCAAAAGGATCAAGTATTTTTTTTTACATATACATATATACATATACATATATACAGCCTCTGTTACTCATGATGGAATTTTTCGATGATTACCCTGTCCATGCTTTATCTCGAATCTTGCTATATAAATCAGAGTCAATGGACCTACGAGAGTTTTGGAAAGATGCCAAGAATTTTTTTTATCTGACTTCCATGAGTTTGTAGTCGTGTATCTAATCCGTGTTACCTTCTGTCGCTGTAACGTATTCAATATGTCTATTGGTACAGGGTGGATCCTTTTTTTTTTTTTTTCCTTAAAATTGTAATCTGATGAGTATGGGCACTGTAATGTAAATATGAAAATATAAATTCCTTTGTATAATTTTACCGTTGCCAAAGACTCTTTCTCGTTACAGAATATTCTGTATGCCCAAAAAAGGAATATGATAATTTGGCCATAATTGATGAATTCACTTTGTAAATATGTAATCTCCACGACGTGATCTCTGGAGAAGAGGAAACTGGCAGTGGACTCTTTTGTTTAATTTAAAAAATTTTTATCTTAAAAAATAATATTCATTTTTGAATCTTCAGGACAGATGGAATACTCTCGACGTTAATCCGTTCCGGAACTGCCGCAACGGACAAGGAAAAACGCTGGTACGTTTTTGACGGTCCAGTGGATGCTGTATGGATTGAAAATATGAACACGGTCTTGGATGACAATAAAAAGCTCTGTTTGACTTCTGGGGAAATTATGAAGCTTTTACCTACCCAGACGATGATGTTCGAGGTGGCCGATCTGAAGGTAGCGTCACCGGCTACGGTATCAAGGTAAAATAAAATAATATAAAATATACAAAGTTATAAAAAAAAGCTATAATTAAACGACACGAATTTTACTACAAGCTGTCAGACATTTTTCTTTGGGCTTTGGGACTTTTCTGTCTGGCCTAGTGAGCCTAGTTTCACTCAGGTCAGACTGAAGTTTCGACAGGCACTCCGTAGTCGCAGCTGTCACCTGTCAAGAATGATGTGGATCATCCAAAACATTATGTGTCAGAAATAATACAGGTGGTGGTGGCCGACGTGCCGGAAGTGCTTTTTTTCTTTTTCATTTTCTCTTTTCTCGAGATGAAATAGAAAAATGAATAAAACAAAATCATAAATGTCAAATTTCATTAGAAACGGGACCAGTGATATTTATTAAGACAGCGTAGACAAAATATCGTAATTGTTTGTATTTGTTTGTTTCTCATAATTGTTGCTTACTTTATTATTTTTTAGATGCGGTATGGTTTACTTAGAACCTGGTGGTTTGGGATTAAATCCATTTATAGACTGCTGGCTCAATTCTTTACCTAATGTAAGTTTCAGTCAAGAATTTATCTCTTGACACTGCTTATATAGACAATTCTTAAAAGTTTATAAATTCGTATGTTTAATTTGATGTTTCATTTTAGAATATGGCTGATCATCTTCAAGAGATATCACAGCTGACTTATTACCTCGTGCTACCTGGATTGACCTTTTTGAGAGAAAATTTACGCGAAATTGTAGCCACTGTCGATTCTGGATTAATACAGTCTTACATTAATCTTATGAATTTTCGTATTGGACCAATGGCAGGACGCGAAGGAAAAGCACCTCCTTCTCCTCTGTTACAAAGGACAATACGTAATGATTTCTTATAATCACATTCTAGTAGTTTACAATTTTATACAATTTGTATTGATCGTTTCAGCAAAACTTTTAACACCCTGGGTGGCGTTCTCGCTCGTTTGGAGCTTAGGTGGAAGCTGCGACCACAGGAGTAGAATTTTATTTAACAACTGGCTGAGGGAAATGCAGAAAGTGGCTAAGCACAATTTGCAGTTTCCGGCAGAAGGACTAGTTTTCGATTACAGGTTGGTTAATTATGTTTTATTATTCAAAAATCTTATCCAATAGTCTAATAACATTTGTGGTCCCTTTCCTGAAATCTTGGTTTGAATTTTTGAACCAAAAAATAACCCATGAGGAAATAAGACACAGTTTAAACGAGCCGCATCCTACGTGGGGCAATTTTTTCTTCTACTCTCGGCTTGAATCGGACTACTATCCAGGAGGATTTTATTAGGATCCTGTAACAAAGATACATGATCGCTCCCTTCTTTTTATTGTATATTCCACCTATCAGATTGCACGATGGCGGTTTTACGGATCCGATAGAAGATAGCGAACCGATTCCACCAAAATGGTTAAAGTGGCTTGAAGATATTCCACCTATAAGAATAACAACGGATATGAAATTTGCAGGTAGTTTATATGTTAAATTCAAATTGTTCGTCACATTAATTTTATTATTCATTTGGTGCTCTGTGTTAATACGGGTACTTTTTAACTCAATTTTTACTGTAAATACTATTTTTACTCTATATACAGGGTGTTCCATCTAACGAGTCGAATAGGGTTTTTCCATCGTCCGAGCCAAGTGACGCCTGTGCTTTTCCACTATTTAACATATTTCCATTCCACTAAAAAATTGATAATTTAACTAAACTCCCACCATAGTCAAACTATAAAAGTACCAAATAATACGGTCGGGATGGGCATGACCGGCTGGGCAAAGCCACAACCATGTTCGACTCGACAAAAGCGACACCCGGTATATCCTTAAATAATTTTCAGACATAGAAGTCCCGACAATGGATAATATTCGTAGCGGAACACTCATCGGTTATTTATTGCTCAACGAGACAAACATTTTGTGCGTGGGACCAACCGGAAGTGGGAAGACACTGACGATATCAGCCAAGCTCTCAAGAAACATGTCGAAGAAATATGTTTGCGATTTTATCGTATTTTCCGCCCGCACATCCGCAAATCAGACTCAGGTGATTTATTCAAAGAAAATTTATAAAAATTGTCTCAGTTTGAATCCATCATTTTTTAAAATATCAAAACTTTTATTTGTTATAGGATCTGATCGATTCGAAACTTGAAAAGAGACGCAAGGGAGTTTATGGACCATCTGTATTGAAGAAGCAAGTTTTCTTCATAGATGATTTGAATATGCCCGCGCTTGAAATATATGGCGCCCAACCGCCAATCGAACTTATTCGACAATTTATGGATTTCAATGGTAAGTTTATATTAAAATTATTTTCTAATCGTTATATCTTATGCACGACTTGTCCGGAATTCGTAATTACAATCTGGCTTTATTTTAATTATCCTTTGTAAGAGTCACAACACGTCGTGTAATTTTGTAAACTTTGTATAACGTCCTTTTTCGTCCTTTGGCAACTTTCGCCATTACAAACTTTTTTTTTTATCTCGAAAATGTCAATTAGACTCTACAGACCGTGACTGTCGGTTTAATTGTGTCTCCTAACTCGGGAGCCTACCTAATTTGTTTAAAGCGCCACGATTAACTCGCTATGAATTCTTGTTTGGGAAATTATGTTGTATCTTGTATATATATATATATATTTTTTAATTCTCTCTCTACCTTCATCTGACCATTTCTATTCTTTGTTAGGCGCATGCTTTATTATTTATCTATCTTTATTATTTATCGTTAGCTTTGCGCACGCGCACTGCAAACTTTTCTGTAATTGAGATAAGCAAACAAGTTTCTACAAGTTTTTATACATTTTCCTTTTCCTTTTCCTTTTCCTTTTCCTTTTCCTTCAACTCCCTCTCGTTATGCTCTTTTCATCGCGTGCCATACTCACTTTAGAAACTTGTGAAAACGGAGTAATCCAAAAAAAAAAAATGAAATATTTACGTACATTCACTACTATTAAAAAAAGCATACAGATTTTCTAGAGGATTAAAGAAAACACATTGAAAGGGATATGAATTTTTTTTTTATTAATAAGTATCTCCAGTGACAGAATTTCAAGATATTGTCACAACAGAAGAGTTTAAAGATAAAACGATAATAGTAAAGGGAATTAATTTCATTATCATATAATGAATAACATAATTAACAAATTTCAATTGTACAGAATGTCATTAAGATTTGCATTTACGACTCTCTCTCTCTCTCTCTCTTAAGGGACGCATTCAGAAAGTAGTCACGTAGTAAATGCCCTAGCATAGTCAGCCAGATAAATCACTGAACATAATTTTGGTACAGCCACTCCCATAAGATTCCAAGTATAAAGTCCAATGATCCCACAGAGCTATCAATCTCCATTTAAGAACTATTCCAGGAATTTCGTAACAATTTCATTTTACAGGACAGCCAATATTTGAGGGCGCATAATAACCAGGGAATGAAAACACTACAACAAGCTTCTAAATCGAGATAACGAAGATTCCAATTTTAAGCTAATCTCGACCCATGTAATTACGGACTCCATTGATTCAACGAAGGGACGAGCCTCCTTCAATTAATTTACTTCCTGACAGGGGTTACTTCAACCTCCTCAGCTCGTCACGTGAACCTTCGTTAAATTCTCAAATATCAAAAATGGATTTCCTTAAACCTTGTCCCTATAAGATGACAAGTACCCGTCCCTACGAAACCCTAGGGGATGGTTCGTTTTTGACATGCATATATATATCCACGTTCGACAGGCTGTCCCTTGATTTTATATTCACTTTATATAATTCTCAAACAATCCAAATCTATTTTCATCGCCCCTAGTGACTGAATAGTGATAGAATAACAAGGCTAAGCGCATTAGAGAAATCAGTTTCACAAAGAACAATGATGAAACGTAGAAGAGAAAAGAAGCTTTGCCTTGGAGAGTAAAATCTTTTGTAAAAATATATTAGCTTTTCGTGCGAACAGGAATATATTGTTGGGGATGGACTAGGGTAGCTAAATTGGATCACTGATAGCCTGAACAATCCTTGGACAAAAAAGAGAAATTCTGGGAACAAGATTACGTGACTATGAGATAGTACAAGATTGTGAATCAATATTTCATTTGTTCTTTTCCTCGTTCCCAATCTTAAAACTTGAGGGGATGTCTTCTTCAACTTGATTAAATTTTCATAAGAACCCATGTATTCTTATAAATCGTGTGCTAACGTTAAACGGTATTTACTGTTTTTTATCTCTACCTTTTTTCTAAAAAATCTTAGTAATTTTGTTATATACCACAAAACGAATAATTTACTTTCACATGAAAAACTCTACTTCGTGAAAACCATTTAATCTATCCTTTCTTTAATGCTTCTATGTCAACAATAGCTAATGACCGGTAAACTAAGACTTGTAACTTACGTTTAACTTGACTTCACTTGACTGTCATTCTGGTTACTCGAATTGCTAATCTTAGTTATTATCAAGAAAGGCTTAAGGCTTCGTGTAATTCAGGATGGATGGTATGAGTTCACAAGTTGTGTACGTAGTTAAATTTCTAATTGCCCAATGGTGCCTTGAGGGATATCCTTGTGCCGAAGTTTCAGTAATTAATACTGATCTAGGAGATTTTGATTTTGATTTTACTCATTGATACATATTAATGTTTTTAACAGTTTTGGAAAAGATTTCTCATATTTCCATGATGCATATGCTGTATATATGTCTATATATTGTATATATGTATAATGCCCTGTATAATTTCTTCGTTAATGACACTGTTAGAATTCTAAGTTTTTTTTTAATTCTCTTTCACTTGCAAAGTCTTGACATCGCCTTGTACGTCTGTTCCAGCATTTATGTCAGAAGTTCCTTAACTTTGATTTTCAGTTTGCTAATGTGTAGTATAATTAAAGAAATCAAGTATACGTGTACATATATGGTACATAGTATATAGAGATTCTCTATAAAAGGAGTCCCTACGCTAGGACGATAAGAGCCTCAATTTGGCTCTTATCAGTAAATCTTGATTACAAGCAACAATTATTTTTCTTTTCCTTGACGATCAACTAAGCTCAAATTTCTCTTTGGAAAATAAAACTGAGTTTGTTGGTCATAAGTATGAGAGTCTGTAAGAAGAAACCTTGGTAGACAAATTAAGCCAAAAGAAAATGGGTCTTTGTGGAGGAATGTTTGAAAAAAAAAATTATGTTAAAAAATCGTATAGAACAAACTTTTATATCTCATAGTAACTGATAGCATTGGTAGTACTCTGTTGTATTGTTGAAAAAAAATCTTTTGGAGTCAGTGGTGTCTGATTTCTTTATTTTCTAAATACTTTGAAATATGGAAAACACCCCTGGAGTTTCATTGCTTCATTTTTCTTCTTTATGATTAATCGAACGGCCATTTTCATTTCTTTTAGTCTTTTGCATTTCTTGTGGCATTAACGGTTCAGCCTGTTAGTGGGTGACTGAGATTTTATGTACGAAAACACTCGACATGGGCACCGCGTAAATTTAATATTTCTTGATTCTTTTTCATTTATTTTTCGTTTTCATTTCTTTGCCCTTATTGCAAAATAATATCAAATGCGTCTCCCTGAATAATCTTAGTATTCGTGACTATTACCTGCACGTGGCACCACAGAATCTCATTATATATATATATATATATATATATATATATATATATACATATATTAGGTAGAAACCGTATTTCTCGTAGTCTAGGTAAAGAGAAAAAAAAAAGTGAATAAGAAGACTAAAAAAGAAAATTGCCGTTCGTCTAGTCGCATACTTATACCTGCTACTTTCAGCCATTATATATAGCAATAAAGATGATCCTTTGCATGTCATACTGACTTGAGCTTGTGGTTTTTTGATATTCTAATTGAAATGAAAAAAAAAAAAAAATAGTAGTCATAGTAAAAGAAAAGGGATGTGTCAGTGAAAATTCCATTTTCACATTGAACATAGAACATTGAAGAAACAAGTAAAATAATTTATTGAAATAATCCGTATAATCATACGTGACGTACAGTTTTCATATAGTATATCAATGTATGACAAATTCTAAATATTATGAAATACCAATGATTTTGAATAATTTATAATTATCTACTCATCAGGTTGGTACGACAGAAAGGAGATAGGATCCTTTCATTTCTTGGAAGATGTGAATTTCGTGGCTGCAATGGGACCACCCGGAGGAGGAAGGAATCCCGTGACGTCACGTTTATTACGTCATTTCCACTATCTGGCGTTTCCAGAAATGGAGGAGGATTCTAAGGTGTGAAAAGTAAAAGGAAGAAATGATAAATAGGAATAACCTCAAAACGAAAATATCAGCTACTTGCCGTGCTTATCTGACTTATCGTCGGCTTATGCCTGACTCTCCTTTGTCTGATATAAATATATATGCGTTATTCGTTAACGAGAACAATAAATTTCGATAACGTTGACGCGACTGTCCAATTTACGGTATTATTTACGAGATCGTAGCGTTTCGTTTCCATCAAGTCCATTGTAACGTAATTCCCATTAAAATTGTTGCTCTTGCTTTTGATCTCACTTGCAGTTAATACAAATTCGTAAAGGAGCCACCCTTCGGAGAAAAAGATACCTCTGGCATTCGGTTTTATTCCATGCCTCGGATCCACGCCCACCATGGGAGCGTAATTGATTCCTTGCGATACTTAATGAAAGAAGTATCTAGTTCTCTATCGTTGCAAAGACATTTCAATGTTTGCCTGCCGTCTACCCAAGCCCGTCCAATTAGAGATCGTAATTCAAATCCTAACTATCTGTAATTTTACCTTATGGCGAGTTCATACGATCCTTCATACTGGGAAAAGGACCGTTTGACTTTTTTCTTCTTCTTCTTTTTTTTCCAAATACCAACTTCTGTATAGACTCCTTTGACTCTTTGTAGCTGCGCGGGTCTCGCGTTATCTATCACCTAATATCATTACTCATTGACCTTATTTCTTTTTTAGAAAAACATCTTTGGCGCTATACTACGATCTTGGCTTCAGCGAACAACAGACTTCGAGTATCTATTGGAATCTATGGTATCTGCTACATTGTACGTTTTCTCAACGATTTCCAAGGAGCTTTTACCCACGCCAGACAAGTCTCACTATACCTTTAATCTTCGAGACTTGAGTAAAGTCTTCCAAGGGATCCTTATGGCGGAGCCTGATAAGATGGACGTAAGCCCATATCCCGTATATTACATTTCGGTTCTAACTCAGGAATCCTTGGAATTATTTTGTACAGTTTTAATCGAGCCTTCAGCCAAAATTCATTCCACTGATTTTTAGTGTTTGGCTGTTAAATTGATTAGGTCATAAGATTCGTTGGTCTTTATTATTACTTTATATCTTTATTACAGTCTGTGGAGAAGCTACTTGCGCTCTGGTATCATGAAAACAGCCGCGTTTTCAGCGATCGACTTGTCAACAACGAGGATCGTGAATGGTTCGAGAAGCTTATGCAAAAAATCTTGAAGGAATATTTCAAAAGTGATCGTGACACTGTGGTCGCTGGTGATGTCCTATTTTTCTCGGATTTTTGCGAGAGCAACGGGCAATACGAACGCATAAAGGATCTTGAGAACGTGAGCTTTGATATAACTTAGTAGATCGTTGCTTTAATAAATTGTACAACGTAATTCATTTAGTTTATGTACAATAATCTCTTGAATGGGACTGTGCTTGGTTGATTTTACAGACGGAGAAAATACTTTTGGATTTTCTTTACGATTATAACAACTCGACAACGGCACCCATGAGATTAGTCCTTTTCCAAGATGCGATAAGTCACCTCTGTAGGATTGGACGTATTTTGAGGCAGCCACGTGGAAATGCTCTTCTCCTTGGGATGGGAGGATCTGGTAAGAAAGATAGGGAAAAAACGTAAGGAAAAAAAGAAGTAGGCGACCAAAGGAATTTAATAGTTCTGTCGTGGCAATTACATAGTCCATTCTTGGTTGTAGTTTAGGGTTGTTTAAATGACTGTTGTAGCTCGATCGATCCCTTGTCAATTAATCATTAACGTACATATTCTTTTCAGGACGTAGAAGCCTTACAAAACTCTCCACCCATATAGTGGAGTACAGCTGCTTTCAAATAGAACTTAGCAAGGCGTATTCTAACAGCGACTGGCGAGAGGATCTGAAGACAATGATGCTGAGGGCTGGTTTACAAAAACGATCTATCGTCTTTCTCTTCTCGGATACCCAAGTAACGATGAATATGAAAAATTCATAAATTTTTATTCATAGACATTTCTCTTCTTCCTTCCTATTACCATGGAGTCATTTAGTAAGGGCGTCAGAGCCATCTTTTGGTACGCTCACAGCAATCCAAGACTGACTAGTTATCCGATACCTTGAATACCTGTTATTTCCTTCTTAGTTTATTGGCTTCTTATGATTTGTCATAAAAAGAAATTCTCTTGTTACTGTTTCATGTTTCTCATCTTTTCACGCTCAATTTGTGTTTCTACGCTTTAGATTAAAAATGACTCTTTTCTGGAAGATCTTAACAATATCCTAAATAGCGGGGACGTGCCGAATATCTATCAGAGTGATGAACTTGATAGGATATTTCAATTAATGCGTGGACCCGTACAAGAAGCTGGATTACCTACGAATAGAAGCAATTTATTTGCAGCATATCAGAAGATAGTTAGGAACAATTTGCACACAGTAATAACCATGAGGTACAAATTATTTTAATACGGTGTAATGTTAGGTACGTTGTATGATTAATGTTGCCTTTAATTGATTAAGTTTAAGTAATTAAATATTTATCAATTTTCTTCACAGTCCTATAGGGGAAACATTTCGTGCTCGTATCAGACAATTTCCTGCTATCGTCAATTGTTGCACCATCGATTGGTTCAGTCCGTGGCCTGAAGCTGCGTTACAAGTTAGTTCCAAGAGTTTGTTAATTAAGCCAACTTTAATCAATATATGAATGATTAAAAATTCTTATAAACTTTTCATCTCTTAATCTTTTCCATAGACGGTGGCGCTGCAGTTCCTCTCGGAGATTCAGGATTTTTCAGTTAATGAAAAAATACTTAAATCCATCGTGAAGACCTGCCAGTATATGCATTCGAGCGTTATCGAAGCAAGCGAGCACTTCTTGGTGGTTAGTTTTCATAAAATACCTAAAATTGTCTGCGTCCTTATCTATCATGAATATCTATTTTCTGATAAGAGTCATATTCGATTTAGACGATTCAAGACGATTTCATAATTATTATATTTATGATTCGTATCATGGATATTGTATCCATCTCCTCATTCGATTTTTATTTCTTAATTCAGGAACTTAATCGTCACAACTACGTCACGCCAACCTCCTATCTTGAATTATTGTCCAGCTACGGTGATCTTCTGTCCAAAAAAAAGGAGGAGCTCGTTTCCGGAATATCGCGATTAGTCACAGGTAATTCCAATCAAGAGAATTGCCTAATTTCGAACAAGGCATTTTATTTATTTGTGGCTTACACGTGCAAATTATTGTTACCCATAAGAATCGTATTGACTGCGATTATATAGCTGTAGTTCGACAGAAAAATTAATCGTTTATTGATTAATGAACGTCGACAACTTTCCACAGTCAAACAAGCCACATTTTGGACGGATAAATAATAACGATAATAATAATAATCTGCTCAAAGTCTATTTTACATTTTAATCAGACCTGTTTTTTCTCCACTTTTTTTTCACATCGATTATCAATTCCCACGTGGCCTTTTTTCCCCACTATATTCAATATCTGCAAAGTCCTTGAGTCAAGGTCTGCCTAAATGATTTGTTTCATCCTCATGACGAACTCCCATACATGATGTGAGTGATGAGAATTGTTTTAATGCGCCCAAGCGTAAAGGATTTGGGGGTTTGTCGATTTTCCAATTTTTCATATATAAATATATTTTTCAAACTTTAATGTGATTCATATATGCATCACGTGCTTTCCGATGAGATTTTAAGGGATTTAAAAATTGTGAATAAATGTCAACGTCAATAAAATTATTAACCGTCATATTCAAATCATTGAACATTTCGTTCGTTCATTGAGCTTGAATTTGTTTACAGTTATGAGTTCTTTTTAAATTATTATTACATTATTAGTACCCTTTGTGTGTGTTTATTCCATATTTGTCTTATTATAGGTCTTGACAAATTGGCCAGTACTGAGGTTGAAGTTAAGGAAATGCAGTCAATTTTATTGAGTATGAAACCTGAATTGGATAGAGCTACTGCAGCAACGGCGGAGATGATTGATGAAATTACGAAGGAAACGGTTAGTCAATTATCAAATGAAATATACTTTGTGAAATATCTTATCGACGTTTGTGCAGGTCGAAGCTGAAAAAACAAAAGCAAAGGCGTTGGAACAGGAAGAAGAAGCTACTAAATTGAAGAAAGATAACCAGGCTATAAAAGACGAAGCTGAAGCGGACCTGGGTACGTGTCCATGTCTTGGTTTCATTATAAAAAATAATATAAAAAATAAATAGAAATAACGAAAATTATACTGTTTTACAGGCGAAGCAAGACCCATGTTGGAGGCTGCGGAAGCTAGTTTAAAGTCTTTAAATAAAGGTGACGTCACTGAGGTAAAAGCAATGAAGAGGCCACCAGTAGGGGTTGTTCTTGTAATCGAAGCTATGTGCATTGTAAAGGATGTGAAGCCAAACAAGGTAATTATTTAATAAATTTATTACTTATAAATTTAATATGAAAGGTTTTACTTGATTTAAATTACAGTGCTAATGTATTGTTAAATTAAATTCTTAGATCCCGGGGAAAATGCCTGGTGAAAAAATCCTCGATTACTGGACACCAGGAAGCCAAATGCTTGCGGATCCAGGCCACTTCCTCAGCTCCCTAGAGAACTTCAACAAAGACGAGATCACCGAAGAGATGATAAATAGACTCAAACACTACGTTGAGAATCCAGCATTTCAACCACAGAAAGTCCTCCAGGTCTCAAAGGCGTGTCACTCGCTTTGCCTCTGGGTTCACGCGATGTACAATTATTATTTTGTCAACTTGAAAGTCGCCCCCAAAATGGAAGCTCTAGCTAAAGCTGAGGAAGCACTTCTGGAAACCGAGAGAACTCTTGCACTCGCCATGAGTCGCCTCAAGACTGTTGAAGAGGGCATCGAATCGCTGCAGAAAAAATTAGAGCAGGAGCAGGACAAAAAGTCGGAACTGGAGCGACAGAAGCAACTCTGCGAGGAGCGAATGTCCAGGGCGGTCAAATTGATCGCTGGTCTTGCCGATGAGCAAGAAAGATGGATTAACACGGTAGCTCAGATAGAAAAATCGCTGAAGAACGTTGTAGGGGATATTCTCCTATCTTCCGGTACCGACACATCTTTCTAAATGTCAAACCTTATACGTACGACGGACGATAATCCTTTTTTGATTTTGTTCTTCAGGTGCCATAGCTTACCTGACTCCCTTCAACGATTCCTACCGCGAGAAACTTATGAAATCCTGGTACAGCGTCCTTGGCGAAGGCGTACCACACACTCCAGGATGCCATCCTGTCTCTACTCTGGGAGATGCTGTGGAAATTCGAAAATGGCAAATGGACGGTCTTCCTAGAGACTCATTGTCAGTAGAAAATGCGGTGCTTGTCACCAATTCGAAACGTTGGCCATTATTTATCGATCCTCAAGGCCAGGCTAATAAGTGGATACGCAACATGGTGAGTTCGTATCATTGAATAGAAAAAAATAAACTTTTTCTTCCAATCCGATACACATGAAGTCTAAAAGTAATTCGCTGCTTTAAACAGTATTATTTGGAAATCGTGGAGAATTCAATTTCGTAGAATCTTCCCATTAACGGGAAAGAGGGAATACTTGTGTTGGAATTGTAAATACGCATTCAGATACGTTAGGTTCATTCAAGTATTTCCAAAAGATTCCATCAAGCGTAAAGGGTAAAGACATACAGTCAAGATACGTAAAGCAAAGAGGCAGGAAATTAAGCAAACCGATAGAGAATGAAGGGAGAAACATTGCATAGCCCTTTTATTCTGATAATATCGTCTTACTTCCCTGCTTTATCTCTAGTAACTTTAGTATCCTACAAAAATATCTTGAAATGTCTAAAATATGTGTGAACTACATACATATTAATTTTCAGGGCAAGACTAGCGGCCTGTCAATAGTAAAAATGACTGACAAGGATCTAGTGCGTGTCCTAGAAAATTGTGTGAGATTCGGCAGATCGTGTCTCATTGAGAATATCGTTACTGAGATGGAAGCTGCGCTGGATCCCATTCTCACTAGAGCGTTATTCAAACAAGCCGGTCAATTGGTGATAAAGATTGGCGACAACATAGTGCCATTCAGTTTTGATTTCCGACTTTATATAACGACTAAGTTACCAAATCCCCATTATACACCAGAAATCGCCATTAAGGTTTTACTTGTAAATTTTACACTGACAATAAGGTAAATACGATTGCTGCTTATTTTCTAATTTCTCCAAAAAATATCTTGTGAACAATAATTCGTCTTATTAAAAATTTTATCAGTGGATTTCAGGATCAAATGTTGTCACTGGTAGCGATGCAGGAGCGTCCTGATTTGGAGGAAAGCAGAAGCGCTTTAATTGTATCGAGCGCGCAGATGAAGAGAGACCTGAAGGATATCGAAGACAGAATCTTATATAGGCTTTCGGTATCCGAAGGTTCAGCCGTTGATGACCTTGATCTCATACATACTTTAGAAGCTTCGAAAGTTAAGAGCGAGGAAATAAAGGTGAAGTATACTTTTATACATATAATAAAAGTGTATCGTTATATTTATATTGTTATTATATTAGCGACATTTTATTATCCAAATTCTTGTATACATTCTGCATATGTTATCTGACTGGGCATGACGTAATTTTATTTATCAAATAACCTCTCCGTTCGCACAACTTCACTACAAAAGCAGTTATAATTGTTTTTTATCGATATTCGCATACCGTAACTTATTGTTTCAGGCAAAAGTTCAATCGGCTGAAATCACTCAAGCAGATATTGATATTACAAGATCGTTATACATACCCGTAGCGAATAGAGCACAAATTCTTTTTTTCTGTCTCTCTGATCTTCAATATGTGGACACCATGTATCAGTATTCACTCGAGTGGTTCATCAATATATTTGTCAATAGCATCCTCTCCACAGATAAGGCCGCAAGTAAGTTGACTGAATTTATTTTTCATATTTGCTCGAAAACCGTAGATATTATGCACGTAATTTGATCCTACAGCCGACATTAACAAGCGCATCTCAAATATCAATGATAACTTCACATATGCCCTATTCTCGAATGTCTGCAGAAGTCTGTTTGAGAAGCACAAGCTCCATTTTGCATTTTTGTTATGCGCACGAATACACATCGACGATAATCTGATAGATCCTATTGAATGGAGACACTTTTTATCAGGAGAAATTTCGCCTCATGTAATTATGTTATAGAGATTTTATCTAACGATTCTTTGATCCTTGTTATTAATATTTTTATACGCATTTAAACAGGAACTACCAAATCCAGCTCCTAATTGGGTATCAACACGTTGTTGGAAGGAGATTCAAGCTCTTGAATTACTCCCGAAGTTTTCGAAATTCACTTCAGACTTTGGAAAATCAATTATAGAGTACAGAGCCATCTTTGATTCTCAAGAACCGGAAAAGTGAGTCGAGCATTTGTGTTATTGAATAGTTGGCACTTGTTAGTTCTAGAGTTTCAGATGTAAAATTTAATGTCTAACGTAATTTAGAGAATTCTATCCGGAACCTTGGCAATCGAGATTGGACGACTTTCAGAAGATGCTCCTGCTCAAATGTCTCAGACCTGATAAGATCACCAATTCCATGCAGATATATTTGACTAAATATTTTGGCTCGCGTTTTGTGGAACCTCAAGCTGTGGAATTATCAGTAATTTTTAAGGAATCATCTCCTACTATGCCACTGGTGTTTGTACTGTCAACTGGTACAGATCCAGCTGCCGAGTTGTACAAGTTTGCCAACAGATTAAAAATGGCAAAGAAACTTTCTACTATATCTCTGGGGCAAGGCCAAGGACCGCGGGCTGAATTGATGTTAAAAGAGTCGATAGAAGTTGGAAATTGGGTATTTTTTCAGGTAATATTCAGAAAACAGTAATATATTGCCTTTAAATATTTATTTGCTTGGTACACTTCACGCTGTCACGTTATATGATACACTCATGATAACAGCAGTTCTAATCAATTCCCTGGCGGGATTGGATGTTGATTTAATTCCATTTAGCATCACTTCACTATCTATCGCCTCAGCAAACAATCTCAACTTGTGTATGGGAATAATATTGTGGGATTAAACACTGTCAATTTTATTAAAAATGACAAATATTATTTTTCAAGATGGGAAAAACTCATTTATTCATTTTTCATGTCCTTTTATATATTTCAGAATTGCCATTTGGCACCCAGTTGGATGCCAAAATTGGAGCAACTGGTGGAAACACTTCCAGAGACAGTCCATCGAGATTTTCGTTTATGGCTGACTTCGACACCTTCCCCGGATTTTCCAGTCAGTATACTTCAAAATGGAAGTAAGATGACGGTGGAACCACCCCGAGGACTTAAGGTACGCAAAAGGAAATATCAATGACGAGTGAGACGACCATTTTAACTTTATGCTAACCTTTTAAATTGTACTCTGAAAGTATAAATTATTTAAACCCAACAGGCCAACATGCTTCGTGCCTATTTGACTCAAGTGATCGAAATGCAGGATTTTATGCATTCAGAACATGAAAAAGTGACAGCGTTCAAGTGGCTATTATTTTCTCTCTGTATGTTCCATGGGGCTTTACTCGAAAGAAGAAAATTCGGTCCTCTTGGTTTTAATATACCGTATGAATTTACGGACGGTGATTTAACCATATGCATATCACAATTGCATATGTTTCTATTGGAATACACAGAGTTACCGTTCAAGGTAGAAAAATGTAATTTGTAAAAATATTCATTAATTGTAATCATCTTTTTTTCTATTATAATTAATCAGGTTCTCATATACACGGCTGGTCATATTAATTATGGCGGACGTATAACGGACGATTGGGATCGTCGTTGCGTCCTGACGATCCTCCAGGACTTTTACGACGGCAAGGTTGTTTCGCCTACATATAACTTTGACGTACACGAAGTGTATCATCAAGTGAGTCATTTTTATGAGTAGCTAAAATATGTTATTTTATGAAATCAACCTTTATTTTTTCTTTAACTGATGATTACAGTTACCAGCCGACACCAAGTTTGACGATTATATTAATTACATCAAAACATTCCCACTTAATGATGACCCCGCCATATTTGGTCTCCATCCGAATGCCGACATAAGTTACGCCCAAGCGGAAACCTACGCTTGTTTAGAGACGTTACTGGCATTACAACCCAAAGAGATCGGCAGTGCAGTTGCCAGTATGGAGGATGTCACGAGTCAGCTTGCCAAGGATATTTTGTCATCCATTCCATCGTTATTTGATCTTGCAGTGATTCAACAGAGGTAGACTTATTTATATATACTATTACCCGAAAATTATATAACACACCGAACTAAATCCACTTTAAGGTACCCGGTTCTTTACAAAGAGTCACTCAACACCGTATTGATGCAAGAAGCGAAAAGATACAATGGTCTTCTTCAGGAACTAAAATTGACATTACAGGATCTCTTGAAAGCTTTAAAAGGACTGGTAGTGATGTCGGAAAAACTTGAAACGATGGCGTTCAGTTTATTCGTTAACAAAGTACCAAAGGTCTGGCAGGACAAGGGTTATGCCTCTTTAAAACCTCTTGGTGAGTTAGAGGCAAAAGTAACTGTGCATTGACAAGGTTGATTCTTAAGAAAATTAATATCGCTGCTCTGACGAGATAAAGAAAAAGCATCCAGGCCATTACACATCACGTAGTTCAAATAAGAAAAAAGTCCCTTCGAAAGGGGAATGCTCTATATACAGGGTGGGACGAAAATCATGGTACAACCGAGAAGGTGGTGATTCGTCATGGAGAAGTAAATCGAAATTGCAAAATATAATTGATCTCTATAAGGTTTAATTTTTAAGATAATCAACAAAAAAAATCATCGAGTATACGTGAACTTGACTAATAGCCGACTTGAGAAGACTTACTCTTTTGTATTTCTATAGAATGTCAGGACTTTAGGTGGCTTAAGGTCCCGTAAAAAACTACTCAGGTCTCTATTCGACGAGCTCAATGTTGTATACAAAAATAAGATCTTCAACAATACGTAAATTAATAAAAGTTTTCGAGATTGAAATATCGATTGAACTATTTTAAACCACTTAAGTCGTAACATTGTATACAAGTACGTAAGGAAACAGTGACCCTAGCGAGATCCTTTAAATCGAGTATTAGTTAAACGCACGTGAACCCGATAGATTTTTAAAGTCGATTTTTTTTTAAATTAGGTAAAGAAAAAATTAATTTTGCAATTTCGATATAATCCTCCACGAGGAATCACCTCCTTCTCGGTAGTGCCATTATTTCCGCCTCACCCTGTACATGAAGTAAAGATGTAAAAGCTTCTAAACATAGTTATCCTTGGCAAATAGGAGCATGGGTCTTGGATCTAAAAGACCGTATAAACTTTATAACGAGCTGGCAGACTAACGGGATACCACCGGCTTTCTGGATATCTGGTTTTTACTTTCCTCAGGCATTTCTCACTGGAACACTTCAGAATTACGCAAGAAAACACATCGTATCTATAGACAGTATAGATTTTACCTTTCGGGTAACGTTGAATCATATTGAAAAGTTTACTTATTTACTGGCCACCATATCTCTGTTAATAATCTCAAATTATACATTATCTTCTATCTTACTGTTAGGTATTGAATGAAAAACCTGTCACAAGGCCGGAGGATGGATGTGTTATCTATGGCCTGTTTCTCGAGGGATGCAGATGGTCAGGAACCCATCTTGCTGAATCATATCCCAAGGAACTTTATACTGGTAAGAATTGTCTCGTTCGTCGACGTAGCAGTAAAGTGCAAATCAATGAACCAATCGTTATTATTTTATACCAGAGATGTCGCCTATACTGTTTCTACCGGAAGTCAATCACAGAGTACCGGAAACTGATATATACGAGTGCCCCGTTTATAAAACGATCAAGAGAGCTGGAACTCTCAGTACCACAGGACATTCGACCAACTTCGTATTGTCTATGGAAATTCCCAGTAAGGCGGTGCAATCCCATTGGATTAAAAGAGGCGTGGCTATGATATGTGCCTTGGATTATTGACGGGAACAAATTATGCCTTCGTTATGATTATATTCACCTACCTTCGACGTTTCGTCATAAATAAGATGCTAAGAGCATTAATCTTCTACGGCACGGACGCCCCATTGCTGTTTTCATATTTGGAAAGCATATTGTATCCACAGACTACAGATCCGTTTCCCGAGTCTTAACAATTGAAAAACTGGAACGACGTGGAGTATACGAGAATTAAGAAATTGTAGTTTGTCTAAAATTAAAAAGAATATATACAGGCTTCCCTTTTGTCAAAGTAAAAATGTGGCCGATGCCAGTATTTACTGTCGGATATTTCTTTGTCTGTATAAATTTATCTCTGTGTATCCTTTTACTGTCTTGTTATATAGAAAGTAGTTGTCTGGCTTATACTTGAGATATTTTTTTTCAGCCCTTGGCAATCGTAAATCATTGTTATATCACAGCTTAGCAAGGATCACAGGAAAATACAGCAACACAAAAATAGAGGGTTACACTGAGGCTACTTTGAAATTAATGAGATTTAACAGTCACGGTATATTGTCATCCTGTCAGGTGTAGTGTTATTATTAATGGCACGATAAAGCTATTTATTAAGCCATGTCTGTGTGGTACATGAAGTAATTTAATGACAAGATTTAATTAAATGCATATAAGTGTAATTTAAACTTATTACTGATCCAAAGAACAGTAGAAAGTAGAAAAGGAAAGGGATCGTCCTTGTCAAATTTAACCCAGTAAATCCATGACTAGTGAAAGGTTGTAGAAGAAGAATCTGAAATCGTGCTAGGTCCAGTACAAATGTGTCAGATGACCAGGAGATTAGGTATGTCACTTATGGAGAACAAATAACGTGGGATTTAAAGGGGAGCCATTATGGTCGGGTCAGTGTCACTAAGGCTATCCGGTGACATCTTGATGCTTAATTAAATCCTCTGAAGAACCTAGTCAAGCATATATCTGATGTTTTTTTTTAACATTTCATCCTCCTCCTAAATCCTCCTTTAAAGTCCTCGGGGAATCCGACTATCACTCGGAAGGGATCGTATATAAATTAACGGATCCCTATATATATCTATGGGATGGTACGGTACGTTGCCAGGGATTAATTTCAACTCTACGTACAAAGTGTCCAGTGAAATTCGTACGACATTAGTACCGAGATAGGTTAAAGATAGAAACTTTTTAAATATACGCTATTGTACTCGTTTTTTTATAAATCTGCAATATACAGTTTGGTACTGATAGGAAGATGAATCGGACGATGTAAAGCAGCCAGGAAAGCGTTATGGCTGATGGTGGTAGACATACTGTATGAGCTCTTATCTAAATGGGTCGGTGTGCTTAACGAGACGGCATGATAAAACAAAGACCGCACCCTCGGGGGTTAAACGATTGCTCTTTGCTAGAAGTCGACGTTGTCACTGTTGAAGACTAGGAGTCTAATCAACGTGCGTTCTCGCTTCCTCGTTAGTTGACAGTGAGTAGTCAAGGGAACGAGTAGGCGAGTGATCGGTTGGTTTTAAAAAGTTATTAAAAAATTGTACGTTTGGGATACAGTATCTCATTTCCTTAATTATTTATTTCATTAATTTCGAGTACCTTTTGATTAGTAGTTTTTTTCTTCTTACTTCCTCTTTTTATCTATTTACTTCATTCTTCCCTTTCTTATTAATTTCGCTCTCTCTACCTTTCTTTATATTTGAATTTACTCCCCTGTCACTCTCCCATTACCTATTTTTCTCCATTGCGTTTGTTTAATCGTTTCTACTTCTTTGGTCGGTTTCAGTATATCTAGTGGAGTAGTTATGTAAAGGTAGTCATCCTGTTAGAGTAGCTACACGTATAAAAGCCATGATTCGGGGGTCATCCTTCCACGACATACCGCCGGGGGTCTTCAGCTCCTTTAGGGTATGTATACGAGCATAGTCACGCGCGTAGTGAATTGGGGTGTCTAAACTGTAACCCAACCTAAATTTGCATTGTATAAGCATTTTTGTTAATTCTGGAAAAATCCACCAGATGGCGCTGCGAAGCACCTGTAAGGTTTTCGGAAAATTCCGCTAGACGGCATGGAACGAACATTGTTACCTAAAATTGCATTTTCCTTTGGAGCATATTTGTTAGTTCCGAAAAAAATCGCTCGACATTGTTGTTAGACACCTGAGAGAGTTCCGGGATATTCTTTTACTGCTACGCCAAATAACCAAGCAAATTCTCATACGATTTTCTTAATGATTTAATTGCATTCAATTTGCTCCATTTCACTGCGCAATTGGTTTTTAATTTCATTAACACACCTATAAATAATCAGTAAAATTTGATTTTCTATTGGATCAGTCCTGCTGAATTTTACAGCTGGCACTTGGAAATCAGAAATCCTGGCCAACAAGTAATGGAAGCTCCCCAAAATTGTGTGCCCACAATTTCATTCCTGACGCTCACATCCCGACGCTTCAGGTGCTCTAATTTTAAAGCCAAATCCCTAAAACAGAAAATCTTCAAAGGCCTTGTATCCAGAGATGAGTAGGGAGATGCAAAACGTTACGGTTTTAGGCGATGCCAAAATCATGGCGTTAAATCGTAGTGGCGAGTCTAGAAGTAGGATAATGTGATCAACGCCTCCGTCGACAATGCGAATTCCGTCGTAGCCGAGCAAAACGTGAATACGAACGCGACGCTTGGCGGCCAGAGGTTCTCCGCCACTCGCCGCTGTGTGCGACAGCCGCAGGACTCGGGGGTTTTCCATAATAAAAAAAAACATAGTCCCCTATGGGGCCTCGGAGGGGTCGTTGCTCCCTTGTGGAGAGGCTGGACCTCACGGAAATGGGCGAGGAGGGGCCCATTTCGCTCCCTTGTACATACTTCCTACTTTTCTTACCTTTTCCACTAAATCATAAACAAATTAGGTGTCTGGAACATCAAAATAATTAGCTAAATCAATAAAGTAGAATATTGACACGTAGAAATCGGAAATTCTGGCTAAACATGTTTAGAAGTACTGGGAGTTTCTCAAAATTGCGTCCGCGCAAATTCGTCGCGCAGGACTCGGCGAGTGGGGCGGAGAGGGGGAAGCGACGAAGGCAGCGCCCGGACTCCGAGCGCTCATTCTTCCTCGAGCCGGTCTCCTATACTGGTCTCTTGGAAATACCCCTCTCTTCTATTTCCAACCTTTTTCTTTTCCTATATTTATTTATTTATTCTTCATTCTTTACTTTCTCACTTATCTCTTCCCTCGTTTCTTCTCTACTTTTATAACTCTATTTCTTACTTTTCTACTTTTTGACTTCTTTATTTCTATCTTCATTTCTGATTTCTCGTTTGACTATGTTCCCTCTCAGTTTCCATTGTGCTTGTATTACTTTTCCTATATTTATTTCTTCTTTATTTCCTTATTTCTTTATATTTAATACTTTGCTTTCTTATTTATCTTTTTCCTCATTTCTTCTCTACTTTTCAACTCTATTCATTACTTTTCTACTTTTTGACTTCTTTATTTCCATCTTCATTTCTGATTTCTCGTTTAACTCTGTTCCCTCTCAGTTTCCATTGTGCTTGTATTACTTTTCCTATATTTATTTCTTCTTTATTTCCTTATTTCTTTATATTTAATTCTTTGCTTTCTTCTTTATCTCTTCCCTTATTTCTTCTCTACTTTTATACCCCCCATTCGTTACTTTTCTAATTTTTAACTTCTTAAATTTTATCTTCCTTTATAACTTCTCGTTTCACTTTGTTCTCTCCCTCTTTACATTGTGCTTGTCTTACTTTTCCTATATTTATTTCTTCTTTATTTCCTTATTTCTTTATATTTAATTCTTTGCTTTCTTCTTTATCTCTTCCCTTATTTCTTCTCTACTTTTATACCCCCCATTCGTTACTTTTCTAATTTTTAACTTCTTAAATTTTATCTTCCTTTATAACTTCTCGTTTCACTTTGTTCTCTCCCTCTTTACATTGTGCTTGTCTTACTTTTCCTATATTTATTTCTTCTTTATTTCCTCATTTCTTTATATTTAATTCTTTGCTTTCTTCTTTATCTCTTCCCTTATTTCTTCTCTACTTTTATACCCCCCATTCGTTACTTTTCCATTTTTGAACTTCTTAAATTTTATCTTCCTTTATAACATCTCGTTTCACTTTGTCTCTCCCTCTTTACATTGTGCTTGTCTTACTTCTCCTATTTCCTTGGTCGGGTCGAGCATATTAATTCAAGTAGTCATATAAGAGTAGTCATCCGGTTAGTGCAGCTAGACTTAAGACCATGGTGTCGGGGGTTGCCCTTCCGCCTCTTCCGCTGAGCTTGCTCAGTGGTTGGTGGCCCAAGTTGTGGCCGCAACAGGACCTTATGGGTCTCCCGACGGGGGCCTTGAGCCCCCTTAGGGTATCTACGGCCATGGTCTTTCGTATAGTGAATCTAGCCAGGTGTCTAGCTCTCGCGTATTAGTATCATTTGTTCGCTTTGCTAAAAACGCTCCAACATGTCTTGACCCTTGGGCACTTGTGTGGGTAGAGACGATCCTATTTGTCCGGGGGGAGGTCGGAGGGGTAGTCCGTTGACTTTGGGTAAAGTCCTACTTGTGCTTGTGCTTGGGGGTCACTTCACTTGGGATAGGTGCGGGTGCTATTGAGCACCCGCTAGTATAAAGTCACCCTCTGTCGGAGACATTTTGCGCGGGGATCGATGGCTAACGGGGCCCGCCGCCGGCGGCGGGCGTGGTTCCTTACGTCTAACCCACTGGGCTTGCCCGTGGGAAGGGACGGAGGTTGTAGCGTTAAATATCGTCCTTCCGGATGTCCCGGCGTGCCCGCAAGGGTTCGCTGGGTGCTACGCCCGCGGTCTTTCGTTGCGGTGAATCTTGACTAAGGGTAGACCTTTCGCGTTTAACTTGTCCCTTTGCGCGTTTAACTTATCTTAGCTTTTTCGCGTTTAACTTATCTTAGCTTTTTCGCGTTTAACTTATCTTAGCTTTTTCGCGTTTAACTTATCTTAGCTTTTTCGCGTTTAACTTATCTTAGCTTTTTCGCGTTTAACTTATCTTAGCTTTTTCGCGTTTAACTTATCTTAGCTTTTTCGCGTTTAACTTATCTTAGCTTTTTCGCGTTTAACTTATCTTAGCTTTTTCGCGTTTAACTTATCTTAGCTTTTTCGCGTTTAACTTATCTTAGCTTTTTCGCGTTTAACTTATCTTAGCTTTTTCGCGTTTAACTTATCTTAGCTTTTTCGCGTTTAACTTATCTTAGCTTTTTCGCGTTTAACTTATCTTAGCTTTTTCGCGTTTAACTTATCTTAGCTTTTTCGCGTTTAACTTTATACTGTATCATTATTGCATTTGTCCAATAAATAATCTTGCAACACTTATACACCTTTCGAATCTCCTATTCCTTCCTATTCTCCATCACTTTCCTCCTAGTATATCCTTAAAAATTAAGTTCTTAAAATGTAATTTGGAAAAAGAAAGTCCAAAGTGGTAGCGCATGTAACATACCACACGTATATTATATTGTAGTGATATATTGTAATATATTTTTAATGGTACTGTTATTGTTAATATTTCGCAAGCCATATACTGTATACGTATACTGTATCATTATTGCATTTGTCCAATAAATAATCTTGCAACACTTATACACTTTTCGAATCTCCTATTCCATCCTGTATCTCCATCACTCTCCTCCTAGTATATCCTCAAAAACTAAGTTTTTAAAATGTCTTTTGGAGAAAGAAGAATCCAAAGTGGTAGCGCATGTAACATACCACACGTATATTATATTGTAGTGATATATTGTAATATATTTCTAATGGGATTGATATTACTAATCTTTCGCGGACTATACAATATGTACATCTGTACTTTGTATACTGTATCATTATTGCATTTGTCCAATAAATAATCTTGCAACACTTATACACTTTTCGAATCTCCTATT